CTTCTTTAATTATTTGTAGACAGAAACTAAATTATAGCTTCTGTCAAATGTATTACCAATTATGTCTTATATATTAGGTCTAAAGGCTGTTTCAGAGCCTTCAAAGGGCCAGGAATAAACCTCAATATTTTTTTGGTGCAAACAGAAATGTGTGCGCTATTTAGTTGACTTAGTTGATAGGTAGCACTGGGTATCGAAAAGTGTCAAGCACCGAATGCTTAATAATTGTGATAAACCATATTATTGTCATTTTAAGACCATTTAATGCCACTGATATAATGATAAGCAAGTACACCCTCTCAAAGAGCAATGATATTATAATTAGAATGTGAAAAAATAATGAAAGATCCTTGATAAATAAAACATAACCATAAATAACATGGACTCTCAGGCTCTATTAACTATTAACTATAGGCTATTGTGTTTTAACAGGCAAAATAGTAATGGTAGGTAAAGCCTGCTGGTTATTCTGGCATCTTGTTGACTAAAATGTTGGTGCATTCTTAAACGATAAGTCGATATTATGATAGGCGATAATTACATATCCTATATATGCTACAATAAGTTGCTAATACAATTAAAGATGTTCCGATACCATTTTTTCCTGAACTTTGTGTATCAGCAAACAACAAGCACATACTACTAAGCCTGAATGATTGCTGTTGTTGTTGTATGGGTTGGTTCAGGTTAAACCCTTAGTCAGAGTCAAGGTCAGAGTACATTGGGTCATGACTTTGCTATCCTGGGAAAAGAATCGGACGCAATTATTGTGACAGACCTACTTGGCAAGATTCTTATAAGATTCTTATATTTTTCTTTTTTTCAAACTAATGCATTGAGTAGTCATATTTTAGTCCAGGTCCCTTACATACTTTTCTTTTGTTGGTCTAAATGTAGTCAAATTTAGGAATTCTGAGGTTAAACATACTGAAATCAGCCTGTAAAATGCCCACCACGTGTGAGTTTGTTGAATGTTAAATGTAAACTCACACACAAATACAGAGAACATGACCTTGGTGTCCTCAGTGGGAGCCATGGTCCTGGCTGAGATATGGGAGTGCAGCTACATTGACAGAACAGGAGGAGTCAGACTATTAGACACACCCAGGAGAGCTAAAATTAGTTGGAAGAGAAAACGAAAACAAATGGTAAAAGTAATATCCAATCTGGAGAGTTTACACACAGACGGGTTTAAACCTTGACCTACTGTACTGAATCATGAGTGCAAATGTTTCTTGTGCAATGAGGGATTTTTAGCAACATTCCCGGTGTAGTCACGTTCAGTTTTACCTCCAAATATAGTGGTTTAGATCATATGGATAGACAGCTGGTTTCTTTACAATGAGTCAGCTTGCCCCTTTTTATTACAAAAAGTTGTAATAAAATAGTACTTTAAACTTCTCACTTTCTGTAAAAGAGTAGGGCGGTGTTCATCACTGTTCCTTCCTTACTGGAGACCTGTGTACACACACTTGAAAGCCAGTATTGTCTATGAATAATGTTTCCTCTCAAAAGGAGAATAAGAGAGTGAGGAAAATACTGGCCAACACTGCTGACCTATTGCAGAACAATGTAAAGACAGAAGAAAATAAATTCAAACAGGATGTTTGTCTGTTGCTGTCAGCTGGCCAGTCTAACAATGCAAAGACAACAGTGGGCTTCCTGCAGCTTACAGTAACTCGGTTTAATGAAGGAGAGAAGGAAGAGCTGTTGAATGTGGAACATCTTACTCCACCTTTTGTGTCCCGGACAGTTTCATTAGCCGTGAGCACTGTTTCTTGTTAAATTGTTAAGAAAAGAAGATATTAGTTAAAGGTTTATTGCTATAGTGAAAGCTATATGAAAATATACCTCGTCATATCTATCTGCTAACCCTTTATTACCCACCCACCCTGCAGGTACCCACAGTACCCCTTCGCTCCTCTGGTTTCTCCTCTCGCTCTGCTGTGGACACCACTTCCAAGGTGAGGAGTAAGGCAACCACCATGGTCCAGAGCAACTTCCAGACCTCCCAGTCACACAGCCGGAGCCAACGCTCTAAGTCTCTGTGCCAGGCAGACCAGGAGGCATTTCCTCTCACTGTGTTGCCTCATCCAGAGAAGGCCTCCTTCACAATCAATGTGCCTCCCCCCGGCACCCTAAGGCGCAGCCTCAGCGGGACCCTGGCCCAAGAAAGAGGCTACTGGCAGGAGGAGGAGCTGCCGCATCAGTACACCTACAAAGGCCCATCCCACCGCACCATCAGTCGCATTACCAACCGACAGCAGCACTACCAGCAGCTGGGCTCTGCCGTGGGCCAGGAGGGCTGGGTGGGGACCGGCAGGGGTGTGCCCATGGCAGGGGATGCCTGGGGGACACAGTGGCAGCAGCATGTGTCCAGGGCCAGCCACGTCATGGGGACGGGGCAGTACCAGGCCCCAGTCCACCGGGCCGCCTCGCTCCGCAGTGTGAGGAGTGTCGGGAAGGGCATGGATATCTTGGACGGAGCATCGATACACAGCAACGACCCACTGGCAGAGTGAGACATATTATTTATTCATTTGCCTGGCTAAAACATCTGGGCCACCTCTGGCTTGGATCAACTTTATTTGTTGCTTTGTCAGATATATGGACGAGAGGATTAACCTCTAAATGGAAAATAATAATCAACAGATTAATTAATGATGAAATAAGCATTTAGTTGTCAGCTGTAATGTGATTATAGCCTCCGTCCAAATATACTGCTAAGTATAGCACCTGTTAATTTAACAGCTTCCGTGGTGTGTGTGTGTGTCTGCAGGGTGCAGGGTCTGGACATGGCTACAGCTGTCAGATATCTATCTGAGTCAGATACTGCCTTGCAGGTTCTGGGAGCTGCTTACATACAACACCAGTGTTACCATAGCAGCAATGCCAAAAACCAGGTAACAGCAGCTTGCCCTTGGTTGTGTTTGGTTATTTTTCTTTTATTCGCTGTATTTATTTATGTATTTGATTGTACAGAAATAAATAAACAGCAAAAGACAAGTGCCCCTATGGTAGACTAAACATGGTGAAGTGGCGTCTAAGGTACCCTTCCAGTGGGGAAAATGTAAAGCAATCCCGTACAGGGTGCCTTGTGATGCAGTGCCCTTTTATTTGTTTTGCCATAAGTCTGCCACTGGTGTATTCTTCCTGATCCTCTCAGGTCCGTTCTCTGCATGGCATTCCAGCTCTGGTTCAGCTTTTTTCCAGTGACAGCCTAGAAGTGCAGCGCTTTGCCACTGGCGCCACGCGGAACCTCATCTACGAAAACGCTGACAACAAGGCAGCGCTGGTAGATGCCGGTGGAGTGCTGCATCTTGTTAACATCCTGGGCGAACCTGATGAGGAGCTTCGAAAGACCATCACAGGTAGTAAAGGCTGTGCTTTCAGACCCTGCTTGCAATCTTATGTCCATGCAATCACATAATCCAGGTGCTGTTACTGATTTATTTTCATCAATATATGACTGGTTTGAAGTAGTTATTCAGACAACAGAATAAAACCTGTTGTGGCTGCAGGTGTCCTGTGGAATCTGTCCTCCAGAGACAACCTGAAGGAAAAGCTGTCCAAAGAAGCTTTGTCAGAGCTGACAGAGAAAGTACTGATTCCTCTGTGCGCCAGCATCCCACTAAGCCCATCGGAGAGAGACATCTTCTACAACACCACGGGCTGCCTCAGGTGACTCCACAGAAGATCCTGCTCACATGTTAACAGTTTCATCAGTAAAAATTCAATTTATCACAGCATTTGCTAATTAGCAAAACACACACACAAGTACGTCTGAGATTGGTGGGAAAATCATTCATTTTGCATGTATTTGGTCATAAACCAAACAGTACTGGGCAAATTAAAATTGTCAGAGGATCACCAGATTATTTCAGTTCTTCCTGAGGGAACATGAATTTCTGTACCAGAGTTCATGACAATCAATCCAATAGTTGTGGAGAGATTCCAATCTGAAGCAAAACTGTAAACTTGCTGCTGTAAAGACGAGAGATCACAGAAGTTATGAGGATTTATTCTCTGGAAATGAATGTTGGTACAATATGTCATGAAATCCATCCAGTAGTTGTTGACATAATCAGTCTGGACCAATGGGGTGGCGAACAAAGGTGTATGGTACTTCCACATTTTGCTCAGCAAGTGAGTAGATAAGTCTCTGTGTTCAGTTACAGGTATTTACTGATGTATTTTATGTCACAAACAACAACAAAACATTAAAATCTTATAAGTTTGTGTCAACCACTGTTTTCAGGTCATCCAACTTAAAACCCATGGAGATCGAGGGGAGGGAACCGGAGGTGCTAAAATGCTAACTTAGTTCCAGGTTTTAGGACTATGGAGATGCCAACCAGTTAAGAATATGCACAGCACTTGTTTGCTGCTATTGGAAAAAGAACACCAGAATGATTTACTGAACCAATGCTTTATTCACTGAAACACATTACTCAATTAAATAGATGATCTATTTTTTGTTGTAGCATAAATCTTGAACTGCTGCCGTGTTATCTTAGAATTTAGTCGCGATCATATAAATCATAATCATTGCATGGAATTGATGTTACATTCAGGTCACACCTTGTAAAGCTTGTCTGAGGAGTTACTTGGCAGAGATTGTATTACATGCAAGTGCAATGAGCTCAAGAAAAATGCCATATTAAGTGGTGAAGTTGTTACTGAAGGGAGCTGAAGAGAGCTTCATAAAGTTTCTGATAAAATCTCTCAAAGATTAAAGATGCATTTTAGTATTACAGCTTTACTGCCTACTAAATGGGAGGCCACGGGGCAGACCGAGGACCAGGTGGAGAGATTATATCTCCACACTGGCCTGGGAACGCCTCGGGATCCCCCAGTCAGAGTTGGCTGATGTGGCCAGGGAAAGGGAAGTTTGGGTTCCTCTGCTGGACTTGCTACCCCTGCGACCCGATCCCGGATAAGCGGATAAAGATGAGATGAGCTTTACTGCGTTATGTTCTGACAGAGTAGCCTGGGTTTAAATGTCTGTGTGTTTGTGTGCATATTAGGAACTTGAGCTCGACGAATGAGAGGACGAGACAGAAGATGAGAGATATGCAAGGCCTGGTGGACTCTCTGGTGTCCTACATTCAACAAGAAGACAGTGCAGACGACAAGGTAACTCTGACCTGCACTGTAAGAGCCTGTGACCGTTTTAAACACAGTAAATAACAATAATTTGAAATCCACTATGGTCATTATGGCTACAGCACACCACACTGGCAGGCCCTTTGAAATGTCAGTAGCTACGAGCACTAACCACCAAAACTAAAGATACAAAGACAGAAAGTCGAGGTTACACAAAATGAAAGACTCCACAGCATCTTATGTCATATAACAAAATATTGACGTTAAGGGATAAGGCTTGTGTTTTTCTATATTTTTCTTATATTGTCAACAAATCCTATGACCCAATACCAAACCCAACAACATGTTGTTAGCTCTCAACACTTTCTGACTTCTCTACCCTTGTTCATAGGACTATGTCCCAGTCATGTTTTCTTGGCCCAGATCCTGAGTCTTTAGACATAGCACTCACGTATGCACTGTAGAGGCTTATAAGGGAGAGCAGCACTGCAGTGTGGTGGACAGATAGGAGAGCACAGTAATCTGTTAGCTGATACCGACCATTAAAATATGCCAGGATCGCCCTGGTACCACTCTGTAGGATCCGCTTTAGTCCCCTACTGAAGATGTGAATCTTTAAAAACTCAATAAAATAGACTAGAATAATATATAGTCTATTTAAAAAACACTCTGTGCAGGGTTCCCACGCATCCTGGAAAACCTGTAGATTTGAGACTTTAGAGACTCCAGTCATGCAAACACCTAGAAATTGATTAATATGACCAAATATCCTGGAAATAATTGATGTTGTCCTGATACATTTTAACTGTATTTTAGCCCCTCACTAGGATGTAAACCTGGGTGTTTGTATGAACACATGATCCACTGTTGGTAGGATAAGCTGATCTTCACAGCTGGTTTACCAGAGTGGTACGGCCCAGTGGAAATGCTTTAGTCATATATATAAATTATAAGACTATTATTTCTGAGCATGTCTTGTCCTGTATTAACTGTAAAACTGCTGGTAAATGATTTCTTAAAAAGACTGTGAACCCTGTCGGTAATTTCCTAAAACAGTTGGTCACTCTAATTACTCAAGACTCAAGTGAGAATTTAAAGCAGCAAGACGGTGTATGTGGGATTGACACAAAATAAACTACAGTGTGTGTTCATGGTAAGGAAGGAGCATATCAGCCAGTGCAACAGTGTGGCTCACAGTGGAGTTCTATGGTACTTTCACTGGCTCATTATGAGGTAGAGGGACCTGCGTGACTTGTCACCTACTGGTGTAGGTGCTCTTGCTCTTCTCTATTTAAGACGTAAGGAGATTGCATTCTTCTTCACTCATTGTGGTTTGGCCCATTTCAGCAGGCGTTGACTTGGGGTTAGGATCACTGTCAACAAGCAACAGACCAAAATGGCTTTGCAGACACACCTTCAACCAACTGGCAGATCGCTGATAAATGCGCTGCTTTTGTTAAGCATCAACTTCCTGCACCTTACTGGACGAACGTGCCATTGGGGGCTGTCCTGGAAATGTCAGTTTATCTAAACTCTCCACCAAAATCTGATTCTGAATACATCAGTTGAGGGAAAAGGTCATGATCCACTGTGTTTTATTTAAGGCTTAGGGAGGTCAACAGTAATGCTACTCGTTAGTGTCAGCATTAAGAGCAGTCCCTATAGTTTACTGGCTTCAATTCCTTTTTCCTTCAATTCCTCTGTCAATTTTCAGCTCATATAGTAAACTGAACTAGTTCTACCCACCAGTATTTCCATTGTGTAACAGTTGTAAATTAGCTGAGGGATCACTATTCTCTTCGAGCTGATTATTCACAAAATATTAAGTACTCAGAAATAGAATCAACTAGATCCACATTTGGCAATTTCTGGCTATTCTAACAAGGTTTTTTGTATAGCCAATAACAAACATTAATGTTGCACATGGTTGCTGCTAAAAGTGCTGGTATTACACTCTTGGACTGGAGATTTTTCATGTTTTAAAAAATTGTAAAATAAGTAACTTTTTAGCCATGCTAGCTGCATAGCCCCATCGATAAATGGCTGTTTCGGTCAGTTAACTGGTCCAGTACCTTGGTCCAGACTGAAATACCTCAACTTTGTACATACACTCATGGTGCACTGACCATGAATCCTAATCCTCTGACATTTCTTCTAGCGCCACCATCAGGCCAAAGGTTTCCTTTAATCAGTGAAATATCTCAACATCTACTAGAAGAATTGGTCCAAAATTTTAAACAGACATTCAAAATTAGCTCCTTATGTTCCAATTTGTTGCTTACTGCCATGCAGGGTTTGAGTTAGGTTGTATCTGGTGGGAGCAGAGTGCCTGTGGGGACGGGTCTGAGATCCCAGCAAAGCAGTAAAATTAGCATTACTAACAATCATTATTTGAATCACAAATAGTGCATTTTCCAATGTAATTACTACATTTACATGAATGTTACGTTAACTACTACTCAGCTAGACTCCTGACTGCTTGCTTTGTATTGGTTTCACAACTCGCTAAATTTGATGCATCCTACTACTGGGGCACTAAATAGGATAGACCAGAGGCTCCCAAACGTTTTCATGTCAAGGACCCCCACACTAGATGCATATTGGACCATGGACCCCAATTTGAGAAGATTTTTGTCTTCCCCTTCAGATTTTGTTTTTTTAGGTTTTAAGATTATGAAGTCTTCATTGTCAATCAATGATCCAACTAGGATCACTATAAATTACAGTCAGTCAAAATGGCCAATCCTTGGATTTCCCTTGTTCCAAATTACAAATAATGTGAAAAGGTTTTTGCTGGGGACCCCCTACAACCCACTCAAGGACCCTTGTTGGTCCTCCAGTTTGAAAACACTCAGCAGATAGGCTAATATGGCCAGCAGTGTGTAAAATGATAACACCTACATTCAGATAATAGAAAAAAAAATGGAATTGCATTCTCCTCTTGAGTGATGGGTTTCACTTGGCATATTTCAGGTTATTGAAACTTTGTTGCAATATCACAG